TGTCAAACATGGCTTACACGTAACTTGGTAATGTCCATTACCAAGACGTGTAAAATGTTTCCAAATATCACCATATCTTGGACCAAGTTTATTTTTGTTATCAGACATCCTTAATTATTATATTAATGGGAGATATAATTAGAAAAGTGAGGAAGTTGGAATCGACTAAACTTTTTTTTGAACAACTAATAGTCGAACTATCTTAGTCAACTAAATAGTCAACTATTTTAATCGATTATTAGTCAATTACAAATACTACTAATATTAATGCAAACACTATGCTAATATTATTATTTGTCTACCAATTACGATTTTTGTGTTTTATCATAAATTTCTGTGCGGAAGAGTATCAATACCATCTATATGATGACGACGACAATAGTTGCGGTGGTGTTGATGATAATTTTACATGTGAACGAATAAACACTTCCAATACAAGGTCCGATTGTCCATTGGCTTCAAATTCCAATGATAAGCGGTGGTTCCAGAAGACCTTTAAAAAACAAATCGTAACACAGTTTGTGTGAAAATATTTTTGAAAAGTGAAGGATTAAAATGGAAATGAATTCGTAATAAATAAAAAAAAAACGAAATATTATTATAAAAAAAAAATTTAGTCAAATAAAATAATCGACTAATGCTAAATAATCAACTAATGCTAAAATAGTCAACTAAAATAATCAACTAATAGTCGACTGAGGATTTTTTGGACAAATTCTCTACTTTTTATTTGTATAACAAATATTATATCGAAAGCTTATTCAAATATATTTTTACTCAAATGAATGATTCGAATAAACGAATAATTCAAATAAATGAATAAAACAAATAAGTTAAATAATTGTATAATCAATTTCTTTATCTGAGTCTTCTTCATCACTTGATGCATATTCTAAATTTTTATTCAATTTGTTATCTGATTTGTTTTTAGCATTTCCAAAATGCGAGGTTTGCTTATTTCGTCTTGGTATTTTTCTAATTGGAAGAATGTAAATTTGTTAGTAATGTATTGTTTGTTGATTGCTTACAAAAAATATGACTGGCTTTTTTTTTATCATTAAAATTGAAAAAATTCTCTATTTCATTGTTTCTTAGGTTCTGTTGTATGTGAAATTGAAATATTATGGAATGGGGTGAAATTCTGATTGGCTAATTTGAATTTCACATATGTGAATTGCGAATTCATTTTCACGTACAACAATAAAGGTTTCAAAAAAAACCCCCCTTCAATGATTTGAAGTTGCACAAGTCAATACTACAATAAATCTATTTTTTTTATTACCAATACTTTTAATATGTACTATTTTTTCACCTTTTTTATTAACAGTCAATCATCTTAACATATCAAAATACTGTGAGTTTCATCCATATTATATATTAATATATCGTAAAATCCGTAATTAAATTAAATTCCAACCTTTTTTTAATTATATATTTGTTAAATGAATTTAATTGATGGCGGAGTTGCTCAAATATTCTGTTTTGCTTTCGCAAGAAAGGTTTTTTTTACGTTGTAAAATCCAAATAACCAACATTTTAAAGTTATCAGCTTCTGGAGATTGTGATATAAAAATCCGCAGTAAAACTCAATATTTTATTTAATTATATGCCAACAATGCTAATACAATTTCTTCCGATTTATTTATACTAAATAGTAACAACATTTCCGCGAATGTATATTTATGCTTTACTCTCAAAACTATCTTTCACTATCGTTAAATAATTCCTTATACTAAGTAATACTAAACAATATCTTCTTTAGATTTCACACTATACCCTGATCACGTTCCTTGGTGGGTGCCCTACTTAACTGTTACTCCCTACTCAAGTTAGACACGTTTCCCAAAACTACTAAATGAAATTCATTAAATATTACCTCACTAAAAAAAAAAAAAGAAAAGAAATAAAAAAATATAAAATAAGAGAAAGTAATTATGCATGGAATTAGTACGAATCCATTGTTAGATAGATTTATTGTCATTACGAAAATATAAAATTAGAAGACAAGGACAAGGGCAAGGACAGTGTTATTATTATACGATTTTAGGATGATGATAAAGATGATACATGAAGTTAAAAAAATTACAATACATGTTAAAGGTTCTATCATCTAGTTCTCCGATTTCTTTGAAATCCTTATTCTAATTAAATGCATTCCTTAAACCTTCTGTATTATTTTCAAGTTATTTCTAAAGTAATCCAATCATTTAACTCCTTCGTTTAAATTTAATCTGAGAATTAAAGGTCTGTTACATTTTAAATGTTAGAATACTTATTTCTCCGTTGTTCGGGATATTTTCCGCGAGTCAATTATTTTATTGGTGATTAAATGTTTTGAATTCTCGATCATTTTTCATGATATGTAAAATTACTATTTTGCAATATATAAATTTGAAATGTGGCTCATTTAAAATTTTTACATTTGATTTGTGATATTATATTAAGTACACAATCTCTATAACGACCTTTTCTATAACGGTCTACACTCTATATAACGGTCTTAATTAAATTTCCTATAGTGTCCCTGAAATTCACCATAACGGCCGACAATCATGATCTGGACTATAATTGCTAGATTAGGAAATTTCCATACCACAAATAAAATTATTAATCTGACTTTATTACAATTTCATATCTTCATAACATTACTTCATACATACATCATTATTACTTCTTTCTATTATCGTAATTATTCAAACATTTATCGACTTTCATGTTATATATCTGTTATAGAAGAATCATAATACTATGACTTGCTATAATATTGATTCATAATATAGTTTTACTGTAATTATTTGTAAATTTGACATAAGAACAACCTTCCAACTTTCTTATGACTTCATGATGTTAATGAATTAGCACTCCTTCAAAAATGTATAAAGGCATCAAATCGATGGATGTTGAAACATAAAAAAAATACAAATTATTATTAATAAAAATCTTTGATGAATGGATCACATGATTATGATCTGCAAATTTCCTTATATGTAACGGTCTTTCTCTATAATGGGGTTTTTTTTTGCAAAACAGAAGGACCGTTATAGAGAGAGTGTACTGTGTAACAGCGAATGCTTTCTTTCTTTGTTCAATAACCCGTTCATAGAGTCTTTTTTCTGCTTCTGGAAAAAGACTTTTCTATCTCATTTTTCACTGATTCATCCCATTCTTCACAAGCTTTAATCCATTTACCAATCATTGTTGGTTCTAGGTTAAATTGACAACCAGCCTCATTCTTCCATAAATTTTTTCAAACTCTACTATTTTCTTTTTTTTTGAGATATTGTATGATTTAATGCGACGACGAATATAATAATTTCCATCTTTTGTTTTGTGAAACATAATAATTCTAATTTTATTTTAGGTTTAGTTTGCTACTAATTTTAATTTTTCTGTGTATATAATAAATTATTACCTTCTTGGGTTAACTATTTTATTCAATTGATGTCGATTCTATTTGGAACTTTACGGTATTTGTTCAATGCATCAGAATTAGCCAAATTATTATTATTGTTTGCAATTTTGTTCTAGTCACGGATTGCAGTGATTTTTTTCCAAATAGAACGATCCATAGTGTGCCAAATCTCATTTTTGATAGCAACTTCAAACTACCAAGACTTTTTTTTTATTAATAAAATTCTCTGTTCCATTGTTAATTAGGTTCTAAATATTGCAAAAATAGAGAGTTTTTATTAATGAAAAAAAAACCTAGGTGGTTAAAGTTGGTATCCGTAATGTAAAATTACGGTATTACGGTGTTGTAAACCAAATACAACTTTGTAGCCAGAATTTACGGAGTTGCAACTAACGGCAATGTTGTATAAATATCTGTGTAATGCTATATTCAAATAAAAAGTAAGGTCGCGATCCTTACTTTTCTAGTTATATCAATTTCTTTTTTTCACACGAGTATGTTAAAACCATTCCTTTTTCATATTTTTCTTGCAACAATTAAAGATGAATTTTGTTATTGATAACAAAAACAAGCTTGGTCCAAAATATAGTGATATTTTACACCGGTAACCATCTTGGTAATGGATATTACCAAATTAGGTGTAAGCCATGTTTGTTATTTTTTAAAGATGTCCTACCGTATCAAATGTTTTATAATAATAATGTTTTTAAAAATGAGACAATATATAAATAGAAAATGGTCCAACCGCATCGTGGTTACGTTGCAGCATCATGTATTGTTTTTTATGTAAAGTCGTGAGTATGTTGCAATATTATGGTTTTTCTGGAACAAAAGATGCTGATTGTTGCAACATTACGTTTTTTGCTGCAACAAAGAGGCTGATTGTTGCAATATTGTAACATTTAGTATTTGATTAATGAAAACAAGCTTATTGATAGTTTGATGTTTTTATACTATCATTTACATGTATTTATTTTATATTTTGTTGCTATTTATATATTTTGTTTTTGTTTATACGCTCTCTAGACAAAAGTATTCGGATGCCTATTTTTAATAATCATGCAAAAACTCCACAATAACTATACATAAAATTCTATCAAAATGTAGTTAGGTTTTGATGGATATGCATGTAAATTTTGATATTTTTAGAACGTCTAGGAAAATTTTAATTAAAAAATCCGAAACTGACGATGATCACTTATTAATTATTGAAAATATTGATTATACACTGGCCAAAATTTGCATTCACATTCTTGATAATCTAACTATATATTAATATAAATTTTCATCGTTATTATTATTATTATGCAGGGTTTTGTAATTAAAATTTTAAAAATATCAAACTTACATGCATATTCATTACATTAGAACTTCAAGTTACATTTGATAATGCGAGATTTTGCATGATTTAATATAAAATTTCATTGTAGGATTTTGAATAATTAAAAACAATGGGATGATCATTATTATTCCCGTCGAGTTTTTAATTAGAATTTTTAAAAATATCAAAACTTACATGCATATTCATTAAAACTTGGGCTACATTTTTATAATGTGAGATTTTGCATTATTTAATATAAAATAAACAATGGATGATCATCATTATTCTCGTCGAGTAGGGTTTTTTAATTAAAAGATCAAAAGTTTACATGCATATTAATTAAAACTTAAGTTACATTTGATAATGCGAGATTTTGCATGATTTAATATAAATTTTCATTGTAGGATTTTGAGATTCTCGTCGAGCTTCGAGTTTTTCAAAACATACATATTCATTAAAACTTAAGCTACATTTTGATAATGCGAGTTTTGCATGATTTATTATAAATTTTCATTGTAGAATTTTGTGTAAATTTGAACAATTAAAAGATTCTCGTCAAGCTTCGGGTTTTTTAACTAAAATATCAAAACTTACATGCATATTCATTAAAACTTGGGCTACATTTTGATAATGCGAGTTTTGCATGATCTAATATAAAATTTCATTGTAGGATTTTGTGTAAATTTGAACAATTAAAAGATTCTCGTCGAGTTTCGGGTTTTTTAACTAAATTTTTAAAAATATCAAAACTTACATGCATATCCATCAAAACCTAACTACATTTTGATAGAATATTATGTATAGTTTTATGGAGTTTTTGCATGATTATTAAAAATAGGCGTTCAAATACTTTTGCCTAGGGAGTACATGTAATTTACTTATATCTTCCAATAAAATTAACTTGTGTTTTTACAACTACTAAAATATCTATTTGTTGAAAACGTATAAAACGTATCCACATTTTCCTTCCAAAAAATTATTCTTAAATCATCTCAAGATTTAATAATAATAACAATAACAATAAAAAATTTTTAATATACAAAAAAAAAAAATGTTGTCAAAATCTTTTAAATCTTTGGCATTTGCTCTTTTAATTATTATGATTTTCTCGAATGCATTTATCTATGCATCACCAGTTTTCGAAGAAAAACGCGATGTAGACTCCTTGGAAAAACGCGCACCACCACCAGATATAGGCAAAGCTGCTTTTGCAAGATTCGGTGACAATGATAAAGTCAAAGGTGTAGTCACTTTTGTTGAATCGTTTGACGCTGGCAGTAGTAATCGACGCCTAGTTATAACTGCAGTGTTCTCCAAGGGTTTTGTGAGCTCGAGTATTAGTGATTATAAATTTCTCATTGAAGGCGGTGGTAATCTGAATGATATTTTTTCAAACTTGGTAATTGATCCTCCTAGAGCCAAAATTTTTGACTGCACTTTTATTATCAATGGGCCTAAAGTTAAAGATCTCATTGGAAAGCAATTCGTTATTAAGTTAAACAATAAACAAATTGGCCGTGATAAAATTTCAGCTATTTAATTAATCAATTTTTCATTATTTATGTATAATTATAATGTGTATGTTTTTAATAGCATTAACACAATTACTGTAATAACATAACAATGTATAATCAAATAAAAATAAAAATATTCTTTAGATGCTTATTCGAAAATATTAATAATATAACAGTTCTCTTTAAACAACTACTTTTTAATAAAATAAACTTAAGAGAATTTCTACCAAACGATTATTTATCAATCAATGATTAGGATTTTTATGATCCACATTTAATAAGAAAAAATATATTTTTGATGACCTGCCGTATTTTATTAATATTAATATTAAATATTTAATATATAGAGAAATAATTCGAAAAAAAAATAATGTTTTATTGTAAGTTTTTTTATCGAGTTTTTTTTTATCATGTGTTTAATGAGCTTCTTTGATGGCATTTCAATTATGTCGTAATTTATCTGTATGCTAGTATTTGAAGTATCAAAATGTTCTCCAAAATAATTTCTTTAGTTTGAATTGTGGCATTTGGACAAAGCAAGATACTGAACTAGCACATTGATATTTTGGTACAGACATTCAAACGTAATTGCTTATGACCATTAACATTACCAATACACATGCTTTAATCTCTTTAAGAGTAGAATCATTTTTTAACTTATTATCTTGGATCTCTCTCATTGTTGTAATAGTAGATTGCAACAAATTTATTGAATGATTAATAAATAGATTTTCCCATTCCTATAATAATAAACCATTATTAATAAAAATTTAAACAATTGAAATTTATATTCATACATACCATGCAACCTGAGCAAATGGTTGATAAATTACTGGTATTATTTATAATTGGAAGTTCTTTCAAAGAATGGCCATGATAACTATCACCTTCAGACATATTTAAAAAAAACATTCACACTTTCGATTTCACTTCCACTCTCATTTCCATTTTCTTCTTCACATATGTTGTAGTCATCACTTGTTTTTAAAGTAGACATTGCCTTTGATTTAGTATAATTTTCAAGATTAATAACATCATTGAATTTATTTATTTTATTGTTGTTTTTTGACGCATTAGCAGGTGTTGTTTTGGACGCGTTAGCAGATGTTGTTTTACGAGTTAGCAGATGTTGTATTGGACGAGTTAGAAAAAACTCTCAAAAGATTTTCTTTGAAGTGTATCTTATGTTTTGACATTTTTTTTTTTTATAAAAATGATTTGATTTTGCAGATCACTCAAAATCTAAATGACAATCTATATATAAATGTGAGATTTGTAATTCAATCTTTTCAACAATTCAAGCCACAAGTAATCGTAAAAAAAGACATAAGGAGTTTTTAATGGATAATAGTGGAGCAGAATCAGATTTAGAAATGAGATAGAGAAATTGATAAATAAAACAACCATGTTTCAAAGGAATGAAAATAGCTCATCTGTTGATGTAGAATCTAATGGAGATGTTGAATCCAATTATGTATATTTACACATTTTACTTTAATTCATTGGTTATTTATTATTATCCTTATTAAATTTTTTTCAATTGTTTCAGAATGTTATTGATTACTTATTCTGAATCTGATACAGAGTCTGCTATTGAATGTAATTACAAGGATGTCTTTACAAATCAGGAGGAGAGTTTGAGTCAAGAATTAACTTTCCCAAACAGTACATATGCAGATTTCATGAATTTAGTAGGTATAATACCTATATTCATTGATTTATTCAAATAGAACCATATGGAAATTTATTTAAATTTTCTTGAGTTGTTCAACACAAACTGTCTAATAGTGTAGGAGATGCCATAATAGGTTCTTTAATAGACATAAAAAACAAATCATAGTTTGCCAGGTTCTACTAGAATTGGTCACCAATTTATGGATAAAATAAATTTTAGTTGTTCAGATTTTCAAAAAATTAAAATTGTTGATTATGAAAATGAGGAATATTTTTTATATTATAGATCTATAATTAATGGGATTAATGAGAAACTATCAAAAGGGATAATGATATTCAGGATAACACGATGCTTATTTTTATAGACATTGAAGTTAATCACATAATATTATAACTAATGTTTTCATACTATTTACCAGATACAAATCAGTGATAATTACAATGAGCAATGGTCAGGAAAGTTGCATCTTCAACAATACTTTATGAGTCAAAATTGCTTTCAATAATTATATATTCTGATGCCACTAATTGTGATAATCTTGGTAAAACTATGAAACATCTCATATATATTACTTTAGGAAATATACTAGTTTGTCTTCGAAATAAGCCAGAATCTAAAACACTAATTGCTTATTTGCTCATTTTAAAAACCACAATTATTTCATAGAAAAGTTCAGCAGTGTTCAAATCTGCACAAAGATTGGCATTTATGAAATCATTGAAGATATTATTTGATCCAATCTATAAACAGTATGAAGATGGAACTATTCTTGAAATTAATAAAAGCTATATCTGGTGTGTATTGAAGCTATCTTTTATCATATCAGATTTACCAGAGGCATCAGCATTTTGCACAACTTATAAATCTTACAATTCGAAATTACCTTATCATACTTGTTTAGTTGAAAAAGAAAATTTAAACAATATGAATCTATCCTCAGAAAATATTTTATTACAAACACCAGATCACATGAAACAAGTCTTATGAGATGGGAATGATAAAGCCTACTCAATCTATCCAATAGAAAATATTTTTTGGAAATTTAAGTATGAAAATTAAGTAATAGTTGAGTGATAGTTTTATGTACTTTGTTACTTATAATAATATAACAATTTCTTTAAAAAATTGCTTTTTAATAAAATACATAAACTTAAGAGAATTTCTACCAAACGATTATTTATCAATCAATGATTAATAGGGAGGGAGTAGAGGCTTAAACATTTAGGTGCGCCTTGACTATATATTGTTTACAAAGTTCTAGGAAATAATCCCAACAATTTTTATGTAAAAATCAAAAATTAATTCTAATGATTCGCCAACTTTTTACTTAATTTATTCGAATAATAAAGTAAACCTTATTATACTAAATCAGGAAGATCCAAATCCTCCCTATAGCTAATTGTGGCTTCATAGAAAGTCATCATTGCTGCTGCTGCCACCAGCTATTCATATCCTGACACAGTTAAAATGGCAGCAGAGAGGTCAGTAAGTCCCCCTTATAAATGGATCAGGTCTCCCTCCATAAGTGTTTGTGTGTTACGGACAGCATTATCATCTCAATTCCAATGTATCTGGCGGACTGATTTGCAGACTCTGACAGACCAAAGATTTTGAAGCTTATCAAACCACCCATCACACAAAGAACAGACTGAGGAAGTACGGAACTCATCAATGTTCGCCACCTTGTAGTGTCTAGAAAGCTCTCGGCGAAATTTTTTTATTGGGCCGGTTATGCTTAATAAAGATATGCAGGATTTTACTGACGATCAGTCTCACTCATTCTTCCAGACTCAACTATTTCCTTTTTTTTAAGATATTGTATGATAATTTAATGCGACGAAGTATAATGAATTTCCATTTTTTATTTGTGAAACCTAATAATTGAGAGGCTCTATCTTTTGTAACTTTACGTCATATACAAATTTTTCTGTGTAATAATAATAATAAATCATTACCTTCTTTGGTTAACCATGAGCTATTTTTATTTTCAATTGATATCGATTCTATTGTAAAGGGTTCTCCCCTCTTTTGGAACTTTACGGCGTTTGTTCGGTGCATCAGAATTAGCCAAATTATATTATTACATAAAATTTATTATTTATTTATTTATTTTATATAATGATTAAACTTATTACATATTGTTTTTTTTTCTGGTCACGGATTGCGGTGATTTTTTCCCCATAGGAAAGTTCATTGTGTGTAAAATCTCATTTTGATAGCAACTTTTAACCACTAAGGCTTTTTTTTATTAATAAAATTTTCTATTTCATTGTTACTTAGGTTCCAAAGATTGCAAAAATAGAGGGTTTTTATTAATAAAAAAAAGCCTTAGTGGTACCCGTAATGTAAAATTACGGTATTACGGTGTTGCAACTCGTGTTGCAACAAATACAACTTGGAGTCAGAATTTACGGCGTTGCAACTCACGGCAATGTTGTATAAATCTATATGTAATGCTATATTCAAATAAAAAGTATATCGCGATCCTTACTTTTCTAGTTATATCGATTTCTTTTCTCCAGCGAGTATGTTTTATGCATTTTAAAACCATTTCTTTCTTACAATAATTAAAGACAAACTTTGCTGTTGGTAACAAAAACAAACTTGGCCCAAAATGTAGTGATATTTTACACTTGGTAACCATATTAGTAATTGATATTACCAAACTACGTGTAAACCATGTTTGTCATTTTTTAAAGATCCCCGATCGTATCAAATATTTTATAATAATATTTTTTTTAAAATAGAGACAATATAAATAGAAAATTGGTCTAACTGCACCGTGATTATGTTGCAACATCATGTATAGTTTTTATGTAAAGTCGCGGGTATGTTGCAACAAAGAAGCTGATTGTTGCAATATTGCAACATTTAGTGTTTGATCACTGAAAATAATTAATAGTTTGAAGTTGCATGATTTTTTTTTTTTTTTGATGTCTTTATGCTATGGTATTTTTAGAACGTCTAGAAAAATTTTAATTAAAAAAAGATGATTTTTTATAAATGTGACTAACCAATTTTTGTTATTATTATTATTATGCAGTAATAAAAATAAACAATGTATGATCATCATTTTTAATTAAAATTTTAAAAATCATTAAAACTTAAGTTACATTTGATAATGTGCGATTTTGCATGATTTAATAAATTTTATTGTAAGATTTAGTGTAAATTTGAATGATTAAAATATTCTCGTCGAGTTTCTAGTTTTTAAATAAAATTTTAAAAATATCAAAACTTATATGCATATTCATCAAAACCTAACTACATTTTGATAATGCGAGTTTTTGAATTTTCATTGTAGGATTTTGAATAATTAAAAAATAAACAATAGATGATCATCATTATTCTCGTCGAGTCGGGTCTTTTAATTAAAAGATCAAAAGTTTACATGCATATTCATTAAAACTTAAGTTACATTTGATGATGCGAGATTTTGCATGATTTAATATAAATTTTCATTGTAGGATTTTGAGATTCTCGTCGAGCTTCGAGTTTTTCAAAACATGCATATTCATTAAAACTTAAGCTACATTTTGATAATGCGAGTTTTGCATGATTTATTATAAATTTTCATTGTAGAATTTTGTGTAAATTTGAACAATTAAAAGATTCTCGTCGAGCCTCGGGTTTTTTAACTAAAATATCAAAACTTACGTGCATATTCATTAAAACTTGGGCTACATTTTGATAATGCGAGTTTTGCATGATCTAATATAAAATTTCATTGTAGGATTTTGTGTAAATTTGAACAATTAAAAGATTCTCGTCGAGTTTCGGGTTTTTTAACTAAATTTTTAAAAATATCAAAACTTACATGCATATTCATCAAAACCTAACTACATTTTGATAGAATATTATGTATAGTTATTATGGAGTTTTTTGCATGATTATTAAAAATGGGCATCCAAATACTTTTGTCTAGGGAGTACATGTAATTTACTTATATCTTCCAAT